TCAAAATCAGCCGAGAAACTCATTATAAAAGTATATGTGGCTAAAATTTAGCTGATTTTTGGAAACCGATATAAAGCAAAAATACATTACTAATATTATGTAGTTAGAAAAAGATTAAATATTTAATATATTCAAAGGGTTGTTGGTGAAAGAGCTTTCGTTGATATTGTTGTGTGTAACTTCACAAGTAACAAAAGGATTTTATCTATTACTGACCAAAATGAAATGTAAACTTGTATATACTGACGAGAATTTCATGCATATAATTTTATCAAATAAGGTAAAAACAGAAACACGTTTCAATCGTTCAGGCATTCAACTTAACAAACAAACAAATATGAATCTTCGCATGCTGATTGTTAAATATTATTGTTCAGTAAAAAAGTTTGTGTTTATTATTAATATGAATTCAGTTTTGTTTGCATTTTAAATTAATACAGAGAATCCATTCAAATATTTTCAGCAAACGTGTATGTATTTTTCTACACTTTATAATACACGCAGAGCTGCTAAAATGTTTTATACACTTTATTTTTTAAACAGTCGCGCCAAAAATGTTGCACTGCCCACACCAAACGACGCACACACTCATTATTAATGCGCGCGCAAGCAGCAACCCATCATACACGCATGATGATTTTTGAGTTTTAAGCAGCATTTGAACTAGGCCATAGCGTTATAGCAGCGCAAAATATGGCACTTCTACTGACCGAGTTAACTTGGTAACCGAGTGAATGAATTAAAGAATGAATAATCATTGTCAGATGTTTTTACAATCAAATTTAAGGAATCTTTTACTTTATGTGTGTGTGTGAGTGTTGTGAGTGTGTGTATGTGTGGTGTGTGTGTGTGTGTGTTTGTGTGTGTGTGTAATATACATATATTACATTTTTTAATTTAACGCTGCACCACTTAAAAAATAGACAAAACTTCCATCGCATTATTCTAGTTAGCCTCAATAATTCAAAAGCTTCGAAAGGACGCGGTTCAAAAAGTTGATGAGATGAGGCTATCCCGTGATGGACTGTCTGCAAACATGTGATGACATCAGATGCCTCACACCATTGAGTCTTCTTTCTCTGCTGCTAGATAATAAGAAAAGTCTTCGCAATGAATCAAAGGGAGGTGAGGAGAGATAAAAAGGTGATTGCGATGCGATGATTGTCTAGATGGGTGAAAAGATGATCATGAGGATGGCTAGGGAGATGGTGATCGTGACAACTTTGAAGATGATTGGGAATTTAAAGGTGATTTTTGATGAAATTGAAGATGGTAATGGTGATTTTAATAATAATTATTTTGTTTGTGATAATTTGATAATAACAATGATTGTGAAAATGATGATGGTTGTGATATCAAGAGTGAAGATGGTGATGATGAAAATTTCGATGATGAATATTTCGATAGCGCTGGTAACAATGATCGTGACATGATAATCACTATTGTTTAATCGCAAAATGGTGCGAGAAATATTAGAAATATGTTACTTTGTTGTTTGTAAACACGAGTTTAAACTGATAATACTATGAGATAGCTGGGCAAGCAGAAAAGTTACTACAAGTCAATCACTTCTGCATTTAATCATGTCGTTAATATCAATTTCATTGACGTTGCTCATTCGAAACCTCCACACACACACGCTGCTTCGCTCTAGATGAACATATCAGCCAGTATAAGCAGTCCATCTTGCAAATAACATGGTAAACGGTATTGGTAAGGTAAGGTATTCACGGTATAAATAGACGGTGTTAGGGTATGGTATAGTATAGGGTCTACGGTACATGGTGTATGATATATGGTGTATAGTACTTCATATGGTACTGGTGTGCTACACATGACACTTAAATACGCGTTCACGTGCAAACGTATAAATGCAATCTCATCAGGATAAGCCAGCTTTAATACGAATGCGTCAAAAAAAGTATGATCATCATGCGATGTTCAATTTGAATTTTTGGCTAGTTTTTAGGAAGCTAATTTTCTGATGGCAATATTTTTTTTCAAATCGTTCAAAAAATGTTTTAATTCTGAAGAAGTCATCAAGAAAGTGGAAAAAAACATGGAAGATTAAAAAAAAATATTGTTTAAATATGTCTAAAATTTATATTTAAACATTTAATTGTTCAGTTAAAAACTTGACAGTAAATAGCGAGTCTACAAAAAGGATGGTTCCTGGTTCCTATGCAGCGTTTATCATCATTATAATCAGCCCTGATCATCTATCTTCCTATTGTGTCACCATCATCATCTATTCTTCAATTTAATGAAATCATCATTCTTACATCTCGCTTCCTCCACTCCTCGCGTAGTTTTATCACTCTATCAACATTATCGCAACCAAAGTAAAAGTATCCCCTCCATTGTGGCTACCGTAAAATATCTGTATCTACAGTATCATTATTTTCAGTATATCATCACCATCATTAGGATTGAGATTAGTATCAAGGTATCATTAAACTCGATTCTAGCATCAACATCAGAAACATCAATGTTAATAGCATTGTCACCAGCAAGTAAAAACCTCACATAACAACTATTTATATCATTATCGTTCGAGCTTTTTAACATTAATGAGTATTTCTTTTTAATTAACTATTGACATATTTAAACAACAAATGTTTTAAAATCTCAGTTCATTTTATAACCAATTTTTGTCATGTTATCATTTTCAACATTTTTATTACCACATCACAAGAAAAAGTATCACTTCTAATTAATGCCATTAATCAAACAGGTCACCACCATCATTTCACCGATGTGATTATCACCATCGTTCATTTTTTGGTTCATCATAAAAAATTTTGCCTTAATTTGTTTCGTTTTTTTCATTATATTGTAGTAAAAAAATTTTTAATTTCGAAAACTATTTTATGAGTAAAATCTGCCTTATCGTTAGCCATACCATAAATTTTTACTCAGTGTCAGCATTAGATAACATCATTAGTGATAAGATGTATCGTCAACTTCATAGAAAGATCGTACAAACATCTTTGATGACATTATCAACCAATCAATTAAACCACGGTACAAACGCATGCAAAGATTATCGGAACTATTTATTATAATAGAATAATAATACCTTATATCATAACATGTTATATATAAATGAAAACAATAGCATCAAAACAACAGCGTTCACAACAACGGCAAAACTATCAAAAACAACTGACCATAAATGGACGCGTGAAATGTTGCGCAAGTTAGTTAGATGTGCGTTAAGTTATGTCGTCCAAGGTTTTTTATGGATTCCACGGTGGTCCATGTGGTAATTAGAACGATCAATCCTCAAATTGTTTCATCGTGTTGACGGATTGTCATTGGTCTTTATTATTTTTTTCTGCTGTTGTTGTTGCTGTGTTGTGTTAGAGTGTTGCCGCATTTTTTAGAATGTTTTTGTAAGGCTTTGTTTTGTAATGTTTTGAAGTTGTAATGCTGTATAGTTGTAATGTTCTGTAGTTGTTTTAGTTTTGCTACAGTTTTGCATATTGTTTTGTTGATGTGAGTGTGTTTTCTTTTCTTTGGCACATCTTTTAAAAACTGCAATCACTTTTGTTTAAACAAATTTTAAATTTATGTGCTTCATTCGAATAATTCTATAAAAAACATTTGCATTTTTAATTACGATCTTACAAAATTATTCAACTTTATTAGATTATTTGCGAAAATTGATCTACTTGTTATATTGTTAAACAAAATCTAAAGCGCTTTAATATAATAACATCTTGCTTTTAAAACTCTGTAGTGAATATTCATTCAATGCAATGAATTGACATTTTATAGAAGTAAAATTAGAAAAACTAAGCAGAATTTCTGTAAAATAAGCAACAAATAAACGTGTACTATGTCTCCACCACAGGCTCCATTCAGCTCTAACATTGACTCATAATTCCCAAAATATCGATTTTAATTTGCGGAATGTGATGAAATGCGTGTCAAGGCAAACTTAATTTAGTTTATAAAAATTTGAGAGGCCCGTGCACTTTTGATGGATCGGTCAATTAACTGACAGATTGTTTTGCACATTGCAAAATTAATACTCTCAACTTCATAACTTCAATTACCTAATTGACCGCTATCATGCAGTGTGTGTTTGTGTGTGTGTGTGTGTTTGTGTGTGTGTGTTTGTGTGTGTGTGTGTGTGTGTGTGTGTGTGTGTGGTGGTCATTTTTATTATCAATTAGGAAATTATTATTGCATCATTGTATATTGTAATTTAATTTTTCACTTTATATATTTTATAAATATAAAACATATAAAAACATAAAACATAACTGAGTTTGCTCAATTTAATTACAAAATTCTGAATTAAAACAAGTTTTTCTACAACAGTTGAAAACAAATTATGAACTTGTTTTTTCAAAAGATCAGAATAACAAAAACCGACAAAAAAAATTTTGTAAAAACTCAAAAATTTCATACACTTTCATAATTAAATTTTTAATTTTGACGGGAAGGCGCAAGATAAATGTCTTTGAAGTTTTTCAGAAGTGATGCATACTTTTCTCTCATGCTCAATTCTTTTTTTTTTTGCTCATTTTCAACGTGAAATGGCATTTCGAATTTTTTTATTTTCTCATTTTAGGAATGTTTTTTACTTGCGTCAATTCATGTTTCAAAAAAATTTTTTAAAATATATATATATATAGTTTATATTGTAGTTAGAGTAGAAACATGATAACTTACGAAGAGCTTTTGAAAGAAGAACCAATTGCCTCAAGCAAAATGCATGTGTTTTTCTCGGAAATATAATTCCAAATTGATTAATTCTATAATTTTGGTTTTTGTTTTGCATGCACTATACATATTTATCTACTATAAAAGATTGTTATCAAATTAAAGTTTAGCAGGTCTAAGAATAAGTGAGGAATTTTCGTTAGTCATCTCGAATATATTCAAAAATCTTTAGGATAAAAACAACAACAATTTTCATGTCTTTAAAATGCCATCGTGTAGAATATAATAATACGGAAGCTTATTTATGTTCCGTGATAAATTTATTATTACGGTACAGCGTTCAGCAACAACTTTCCAACGACGGGCATAGCCATCGTTTGGGACTACAAACATACGCAAACGACTTGTTATTAAATCAAACTTCGTGGACATGTATGGCCATATAAAGACAGAAAATCTCAATGTAATGTTATAACGTAATAATGTTCTTATGTTCTTCTTATCTATTTCAGGAGTGTTGTGTTACAAACACATATATAACATACAAGTGAAAGTATTTTATGAGATATTTTATTTGAAAATTTGTTCAAAAGTTTTCCACATTATGTATATATAAATATATACATGTGTGTTTGTGTTGCTTCTTTTTGTGCGTGTGTGTATGTGTGGTATGAGTTTGTATTGTGGTGCGTGTGTGTGGTGAGTGTGTGCTGGGTTTGTATTGTGGTGCGTGTGTGTGGTGAGTGTGTGCTGGGAAGAATGATGCTACTAAATCTAATTGAATGGTCGAACTGTATGTCAGGGAGGCTGTTTGAAGGATCTGTCATTAGCACACGCTAATCACAATTAATACGTTCTTCTTAAAAGTTGCACTCGCGTGTTGATGATAATCACTATCAGCACCAAACCACCACTATCATCATCCTCTTCGTCTCCGTCGTTTTTTCCATTTATTTTTAACTTCATAATTTTTGGAATTTGTATTTGGTATCAAGTTCATTCGTTATCAATTTCACCAATTGTTTTTCATGCGTATAATATCTTCATTAATGTGGTTGTTGTCCTAAACAATTATAAGGACGTTCTTAATAACACTTATGATTATTCGAAGCGCATTAAAAAATGGCAGAAGCTGGTACTTCACAAGAAAAAGACGCCCACATTATAAAAGATAATTATATATCTAAATTACGACGGGTTAGCAACTTTTCAGTTTTTTACAAACTTTTTTTTTCAATTGTGCTGACTGCTGACTATACATGACAGTGTTACCATATTTAGGTTTCCAGGAATTACATTTGACTTGAACTAATTAGTAACTTCATTGCAGAAATAAGTTTATTTGTTGGGGAAAAAAATTTATAAAAGTTTGGTCGTTGAATTTAGCGGACTTGAAAAATTTTCTGTTGTTTTTTAAATAACTAAAAACCCATGCTTATTCGTTTTTTTTTTAACCTCTAAACCTCCAGTACTCCAAATTAATTTTTTTTAATGTTAAATGTTCACAATGAGTAAAAGTTGTAATTCATGTATTACTACTAATCCCACCCATGCGACAGAAAGGAATTTTTCACGTAAACATTCACTCGCGAAATATAACATCGCCTTATATATTCATATATATTTAAATAGAGATCTTCCAGTTTAACATTGAGGTGTCCCTAATTCTTAGTTGATATAAAGAACAGTGAGGGCTGCAATTGAAATTGAAAATAAAATCTCTCAATAAGAGTGTTAAAATAATACACACACAATACACATACACATATAAACACGCACACACACACTCACACACGCACGCACACACATACACACACACTCACACACATTAATCCACTCTTCAACTAAAAATCATAAAGAATTTACACAATTTTTTAAACAAGCTATTTTATTTCCGAAAATAAATAATTATTTTAATAGAATAAACTTCGACCGTAATGATGCATCTAATAGCAAAAAACTGAGAAATTTGGGGAAAATAGCCTAACAGCGAGCAACGTTCTGAACGAATGTCAAGAAGTCTGAAAGGTTAAACATAACCTCATATATTTCTCATCAAAGTCATTATTTCCATCATATTCTTCTTTCTTCATACAATACTTTCTTCCATACCACAAACTCCACACACACAATGCTAACATTCCAGTATTATACTTACATTCATATTTTAATTCGATTTTATTATGATATTAGTATTAGAATTATAAAAAATGATTTACAAATTAGGTTGATGTTTAGACAAATAAGATTGGTGTCAAAAGATTCAAAAGATTTCGAATTATTAACAGACTTAAACGCATTTTACCAAAAAATTAAGTGAAACAAATATTAAGTGTGAAAGCAACAAATGTAATACAGTAAAAGCCCTCAAGAGCAAGATCCTAAAGAGCGGACAGTTAGGAGTAACAGACAGTGTTTTGTATGTTAAGAGCGGACTTTTTGAAGTAACGACATAATGGAAAGGCCTTTTAGAACAAAATGACAAAAAGCGGACAATTTTTTACCAAATAATGTTTTACATTTTACAAAAATGCGCTAAAATACCCTTACTAGGTTTTGGTTCTCTTTTCAAAAAGTTTCTTTCCGCTTTGTTTATCGTGACCCGTTCATCATCGATAATGGTATTGCCAGTAAAAAAATTTGAGACTTGAAAGAACAAATGCTAGTTGTGCCAGAGATTAGATGGTGAAAATAGCATTAGAAAGATTGCGGAGAAATTTTGATGTGGAAAAACACAAATCAATCAAGATCCCCACCATAACCAACCACACTCTATTTTCTTCTTAGTCAAGCTTAATGTATGGCAAATTATATTTTTTATTGCTAATAAAAACACAAAAGAACAACGCGCTTCATTACACGTGTGTGAAATTCAGCAAGAAAATGTGGTAACGTGTTAATGTAATAAATATTATGTAAAGTACACACATAAAATGAAAATACATAATTAAAATATATATAATAAGTAATATAAAAACAACAAAATTACCTTGCCAAGTGGTCCAAGCTGGTCACACACAACGAGATTGTTGAAAATCAGGATGTCAACCAGAACACCACTGTATTGTCCCAGATCGTCCAATTCAACTTTTATCTTCATCCATTTCCGATTTTCGTTTGATTCTCCCAAAATTCCATCCAATCCAGTTCTTTGCTATGCAATCATTTTAAATTCCATTTAATCCTACCCAGTCTCAACAAATGTTTTCTTAACCTATCTAATGCTTTATTTCATCCCACGTTTTGCCACGTCAAATCATGCTTTATATTCCTTAGTGAGCACCAGAAAAATATCGTACTACCCACACTACACGATGTGAATACATGTTTTAAATGCACGCATCATACTTTTCGTACCGGGTTATAGCGCAATAACATCGCGAGACGTAGCATTTCTACCGACTGAGCTGACTAACTGACCAACCAATATTCATTTTTAATCATATCCCATCAATTCCTATTCAATCCTGTTCCATTCAAACCCATTCAATCTGCTCAATCCTGTATCATTTAAAAGCTATCCTATTCTATTATCAATAAATCTATCCTATTTTATTCCGTCAAACGTCAATCGTTCAATCCCACTTAATCCCATTCTATCTCATTTCATCCAATTACAATTATTATTATTTTTATTAATATTGTTATCATAAATTCTTACGTTGAAATCAGAGATATCTGAAACGTACACAACACACAGGCATGTGAATACAAGTGAACCCATGCAATGCATGCGTTGCATGTGCTAGGAAGAAATCTTTTCGCAATTAAACCCAGTCACTGCTACAGCAAAATCAGTCCACCACAATCCCATGCAATCCCATTCATTCCCATTCAACCCCAATCCTGCGCATCTGATTCGTCCTTATCTAGTCCCACTCCATTCCATCGTACTCTCAACAAATTAGCACCAATTGTGCAAATGTAGGGCTGTGGAGTATAAAAAAAAGTATTATTGCCAGCCAACCCTCGAATACTTTTTGTAAATCATAATTTCTTCACTTTGAAAAACAAAATAAAAATAATAATTATATGCTTATAGTTAAATGTTAAATATGTTTATGTGTGTGTGCGCGTGTTTGTGTGTGTTTGTGCACGTGCGTGTGAGTGAGTGAGGAGGTATGTTTTCGATACATAATAAATTTGAGCGATGTTAATATTCCACACACGAACAAAAAATAGTTTGATTGTGTGGTTTTTTCTTTTTTCGTCTACAATATAACAATGAAATGAAAAAGTTATAATAAAATAAAATAAATATAATATTATATATATATATATATATATATATATATATATATATATATATATATATGTTGGTAATAGACCATAATTTTTACAATATTCTATAAATTCTACCGAATGTTTGGCGTTAATATTTTTAATAAACTAAACGTTCACCAAAAAACTTTAGTGAGAAAAATCGAAAAAACGAACTACAAACATATTAACGCCAAACATTCGGTAGAATTTATAGAATATTGTAAATATATATATATATATATATATATATATATTTATATATAGTACATAAGTATGTACTCTACATGTACAATGTCCCATTCACTTCTCAGTTTTAATGTTCATTATGCACGTGTCGTTCTGTATGAGGTGTTTCTGTGTGTGAAGTTTAGGATTGCGCAAACTGTTCATGTTATTAATAACAAATAATATAATCAAATTAAATTAAATTCTAAACGTCAATAAGCATATTCAAATCCACAATGAAAAGAAGGCGTCTCATATGAATCTACGAACATTCATTTGTTTGTTACATAGTATCCAAGCCAGCTAACAACAATGGCCAACATTTGAGTCCTCTCAATTATTCAGTCAAAAACATAAAAAAATAATTTCGATTGTGTGTTTGTATATTTTTATGACTTGCAACAACACATGACCAACATTATGAGAACTAAAAGGTTAAACAGTTAAAAGTTTAAAGGTCATAAACACATATCCAAAAATCAGAAAAATCAACAACACACAAACAGCGTTTATGAATACGTGTTAAACAACGCATCCTATACAAAGCATGACGCAGAGAATTTTGTCATATTCAAACCCAGTGCCTGTGCCATTAGAGCCGGCAATCTTAACCACTTGGCCACCACGCCGCGTCTTTCACTCATTAACGTATCGTGTTTTTCTGTATATATAAATTATGCACAAAACAAGTTATGAACGTTATTGACTAAAAAAATGAACAAACATATAAACACATAGTCGCTATAGCCAAATCTGTTGTATTCAGTTACGTATTAGGTTATATAATTATTTATTTAGCAAAGTGAGAATGAACTAGTATGCCTCTTCAGATTTGCCTGTAATGGTTGTTATGTTATGAATGTGTATGATTGTTTTGATTGTGTATGATTGTTTTGATTGTGTATGATTGTTTTGATTGTCATGATTGTTGCACTGAGATACGTTGCAGCTTGCGGGTGATCTGTCTGTAAGTACAACTCCTCGTAACGTTTAATAACACTGTACCCAAAATTCAATGTTTGTTTTCTTCATTCATAAAACATTGTTACTCCGGTGATCGCAATCATGCCTGTTTGTCGATAACAGTCGTTCGTTCTCAGTGACGTCATAACTCAGGTTTGTTTCCGCTTTCCAGTTTGTTGTTTTGTTGCTGTTGGTGTTATTGTTGTTGTTGTTGGTAATGTTGTTGTTGTTGATGCCGCTGGTGTTGACGTGGTTTTTAGCGTTCTCAGATGTTGATTGTGCGTGGTTGAAATCTGTGCGGAGTTGCTGGTGGTGGGAGTGGTGCTGTGGTGACGACGTGTGGAAGAAGTTGTCATCGTTGTTATTGAGGTCGTTGTTGGTGGTGTGGTTGTTGTGGCTGCTGCTGCTGCTGCTGATGTTGTTGTTCAGGTGGTAGCAGTTGTTGCTGCTGCTGTTCGTTTTGTTGCGTGGTCTCACTGACGTCATCAGCGAGTGACTGCAAGGTTTGCTAGAAAAATGTTTATATACCACTCATTATATATTTAGGCTTTTTCTAAATAATTCAATTCTAATAATTCTAATTTTACTAAATTTTTTTAATCGGCTAGATTATAATTTTGGCATTGTATAATATATTTTAAAATTGTCAAAAATAAATTCTTAAACAAAATAGAATTTCTTTGTTCAGTGAAACGAGAAAAAAAAACAGATTAAAATCGAATGGTTGGAAAACAGATGATAAAAAGAATGAAACAACACTTTTAACAACTCTACATAAATCAACTTGTGAAAACAAATAATCGAACTAATATTTGAATTAACTTCAGAGCTGTAAACCAACCAGCGTGTTTGCGGTCATCATCAGTAAGTGATATTTAATTATTTTTCGATAGCAAGCTGGCATCAGGTGGCCGATCTAAAATTGTTTAATTTGTCGTCTGCCCGCCGCGTTACCGTCACACAGGTGAAAGTCATTCATACGCCATACTTTTATGCACTCAGATGTCAGGCTATGTATTTATTTCATCCGTATCATATTTTGCTTTATAATCTCATGACATATTTTTCAATTTGAAATTATTTTTTTATTATTATAATTATAAGTTGAGTGCAGTGGTATATATATGTGAGATTGGATCGCCTCAAATGTCAAATGGTTTAGTCTGTTTTTTAAGATTCTATTAATGCGTCATCATAACATTAGTTTATTGGTAAGTGTTGTCAAACTTCACGTTAAATTATTTTTTATTTACCTCAAAACATTAATTAATTAATTAATTAATTAATTAATTGATCATACCAACCACTTTATATTGTTGTTGTTTATACTTGTCAGATATGTGCAGCATATTATTTGAACTGTTTACCTACAACTTTTCAATTGTGGGTGGTCGGTCAGAGTAACCGTGAACAACTTTTTAAATAAAATCAATGCTCAATATAACTTAGCTCAAACACAATCTTTTGAGAAAATATTATGATTGAGAAACAAATGGCAACTAAACATAGAGCAATGTTAATTTGTTAATAATTTATTCACAGGCGAGGCTAACATTTTGATACAATTATAAAGTTGTGTAAACCCTTTAAATAAACCCTTGAGCTTGTTTTATTGAATTTTATTAATACCGTGCGCAATAACTTTATAGTCTGAAAAAAATCTATAAATTTTCAAGAAGTTAAAATGGCAATTGTTTTAAATGAGAATGCACTGGACTCCGACTGATTAAAAATGTTGTGGAATTTAATTAAAAGTTGCGTTTCATTCTAGTAACGCTGCTGCAAATTTTACAACTTCAATTTCATACACAAGTCTTCTTCGACGGCTCTGTTAAATTTTACGCAGATAAGATTGAAAGGTGCATGAAGAGACGGAACTGCTTCTAAAGTTAGACCAAAAAAATAATTAAACATTCTATCGATGGGCAAGACTGTTTAAATTAAACCTTCAAACTTGTTATTTTTGCTGCTTTTAACTCTAATGCCATCGTGGAAGTAAACTAAAAAAAAACAAGAAACAAATTTGCTGCAAGTAGTAGAAGCGGAGAATGCTGAATTGGCAACAAAGATTAAAACAAAGATATCAAACGTCAACATTGCAACAAAGAATCACAAGCAAAATTTAAAAAAATGCGTCTACTGAATCAACAGATTAACAGAACAAAAAAATTTACAACGCCTTACAACTGCAAAAATGGATCAACCACATCAGCCACAAAAGAATAAAAACATCCACAGCAAAAACAACTACAGCAGCAACAACAGAAGCAACAGCACCAGCAACAGCAGTAGCAACAACAACAACCAAATCAACAACAAATGTACGAAATACAAGAGAACGTAAGACTAACGTTGAGTCGTCTCGACTGACTTTGAAAATGAGGAAGAGGAGGACGATTATGACAATGATGGCAGTTACCGTGGTGGCCACTAATCCTAATAAATTGTTAATATTTCATCAGTGCATCGTCACATCCATTCAAATGTTCACAAAATATTTTACAGAAGCATTGATTGATAAGATAACGCATATAGAGGAACATTGGTGATGTGTGAAAATTACATCTTCGTCTCATAACTTTTGTAAAGTTCTTTGGTTAAAACTTAACTAAAAAATTTTTTAATTTAGTCAAATGGATCGTTGAAAAAACATCCAAAACAAATTACTTTTTCCAACTAAAATATGAAATTCAAAATTTGAAAATACAAAAATAAATATTGAAAAATTAAAAATTTGTATCACAAGAAAATGAGTCTTTATAATTACATTATTGGATAATAAAGAGATGGGTTTCTGTGATTGCGTGTGAGTGTGTGTGTGTGTGTGTGTGTGTGTGTGTGTGTGTGTGTGTGTGTGTGTGTGTGTGTATGTGTTGTTGGTAGGAGGAGGGGTTTTTCCAATTTTCCAATAAAATTTATTTCAAACACTAATTTTTGTTTAAAAAGAAAATAAAGTTAAAGTCAAAAGTTATTCCATATTTAAGTTTTCATCATTTGTTTTTGAAATTGAAATTTTGTAATTTGTACAGAACTATATTTATACAGAGCTCGATATTTTTCAGCACACATAACTTTATTTAGTATTACATCAATGTTGCATGTCTATATATCGTATTTGTTTTTTGTTTTATTCACTAAAAATTTATCGAATTTTCGAAACCTGCAAATTCCAGGAATCGCTCGTCTTTCTGCAGCTCCTCGAAATATGAGCGCTGTTGATGTGGCGGTGCCCGGTTGCTGTGGCCGTAGAAACCATCAACGTCGGAGTAATATGGCAGATGATCGTGGTCATCTTGTTGTTGGTGCCGACTATTCAAATGTTCCCCCTTGTGGGTCCTCAACAAAATGTCTGTCGGCATGTGTTGCTCGCTCTGCAATGTTGGTCTGAAAGGCAGTTTTAGGTTGTTGTGCAGCTTCGTTTGTGAGTCTGATGTCGCCACTGTTGTGGTCGGCTGCAACATTCGTCTGGTTGTTGAAGTACCTGATGTTTTGTCATTGTTGTCGTAGTTTTTATAATTTTTACTGATCTTCAGTTATAGTTTACATCAAATTAACAATTTCTGTTAAAAATTAAACATTTGATAACTATAATTATAGAATGCAATTCTAATTTTTTCAACTTAAATAAAATTAAAACCAGAAATTGTGTGAAGAATTGTATAACATTTTTGTGTAAAAAGAATTGTATAAAATTTTAAGTGAAAATTGTGTAATGAGTGAAAATATGGATATTTTCACTCATTTTTGACAACTAATAAAAAAGTTTCTTTAAAAATTAGGATGCATTTCTCGTTGGTTTTCCTGCTCATAAGCTATCAACGACCTTGAAAATCACTATTTGAAAAAGACCATGAGACTGTGTTCAAAAATTGGTCAATTATTATTTCACAGTTAAATGCTGATACCTCAACAAGGTGGGCAACCCGTTTTTGTAAGTGGACCATTACCACAGCTCCTAATAAAGTTCTTGCGTCTCATTTTTATTTTCCTCCATTTTTCCACTCTGTTTATTTTTCACATACATTATTCAAAATTTCCAATGTCTAAGACTTTCAAATATTTGCGGTTCAACGATTGCAACTTGTTCACGTACATCACTGTTACTTAGTTGCCTCTGATGTATGAAATAATTTAACAAAAAAAATTTTTTGTAACTTTTTCACAACAAAAACAAGCTATCATTTATTTTGACTTTTACATGATTTCAAATAAAAATTTTCACAAATGAGTTTTCAACATGTCGTTTCTGCTTAGAATATGTATGTTTAAAAATGTTTGTTTACTGAAATCTATTGCAAGTTATTATTTTAAAGCATTAGGATTCTTGAGCATTTTCCCAATCATTCTGACTGAAAATAAATTAAAAAGAAAAATAAGCATCCTCTCTTTTCTTATATTATTGACTAGCATGGAAACTATTTTCTTTCAAAAATGTAATAACGAAGCAGAACATTTGAATTGCTTAATGGTTAACCTTTTACACAATTTATAAGGCCGAGAGCCGACCAAGTACCATCCTGGCATGTTATCAACCACTGATTGTTGTTGTACACACAACTAATCAACATATTGTAATGGGTGTAGTTGATGCTGTTTTTGTTGTTGTTGATGATGATGTTTTTGTTGATGTGGTTGTTGAGGTTGTTGTTGTTGATGTTTTTGTTGTTGTTGTTGATGTCGTTCCGGTTAATCATGTCGTCTGTAATTCTGTTGATGTAGTTGTTATTGTCGTTTGCACGGTGAAACTTTTGTACATTTTTTATGCTGTTTTTGTGGCCGTAATGAGTTGTTTTATTTCTTATACTGTAGCCTTCGGTGTGTTTGGTCGATTTTGTGTGAACGTTAATCGAATTGACGTCCTCGTTGTCATTCTTTATTTCTTTCGTGATGTTCTTATTATTGGCGTCATGAACGTTCTGCGACGTGATGACGTTAGTGCTGCTGCTGTCTTTGCTTCTCATCGCGTTTTTGTTCGTTCGTATGTTGCCCGGGCTGTCGTTGCCACTGGATCTGCTGTTGGCTCTGTAGTTGTTGTTGGCGTTGTTGTTGATGCTGTTGACGTTGTTGTTGATGCTGTGGATGTTGTTGCTGATGCTGTTGATGTTGTTGTTGATGCTGTTGATGTTGTTGCTGATGCTGTTGATGTTGTTGTTGATGTTGTTGATGTTGTTGTTCATTTCGTTGAAGAACAAGGCTCCATCTGGTAAGTTGGGCAGTGGGCAACCGACAACTGGAGTTTTTTTTTTTTTTAAAAAAGTTGTTTCTTAATTAACGTTCAAACTTGTTTATTCATAATTACTCTTGTTTGTTTGGATGAAATGGGATCGAATTATGAATTGTTCAACGTTGTAAAGACAGTTGTCGGTATTCGCCATTATTATTTGTATGTATCAATTTAAAATGTATAAAATTACATTAATTATAATGAATAATTTAATTATTATCTATAAACTTTTGTTCAAATAAATAAAAATGAAAAGTTTGCTTCAAATTATCAATTGAAGACAACATCATACACGCAAATTTTGTTCGCAATAGACGAGATAGCATCGTAACCAAGCCGTAACATATAAAACATTATTAAATTACAATAAATTCCTTCTGCAATGTCATCAATCACGTGATCTCGACGCATCAATCATACGGGCTTTAGAACGTTATTGATGACTAATTGAATGGATGAAGGAATAAAGGAAGGAGTGACGAGAAAGGGCTGAAGTAAACAACAGCTCAATGGAATGAGTGTGGCGACGATAGGCTGGTGAACGAATTGAACGAACGAAAGCGTGCTAACTCTGCGAGAAAATAACTTACTCTGATAGTGGATTAGAAATTTGAACTGCTCGTCAAGCGATGGAAGATTGATTCTGATGGTGTGGCCTACAGAAACGTACAGAGGTTGGATCCGCCTCAAGGAACTTCTTCCCCAAATTTCGAAAACCCCTGAAAAATTTCATCATTAAAATTTCCAAAATTAATTCTCAAGTATACACAATAAATTTTCAGAAAAACTATAGTTTGTGAAACATAAAAGGCTTCAATAAGAAAACGGTAACAAACTGAACAAGCTAATAACTCGATGAATAACTCTCATTAAACTTTTCAAACAAAGGTAGAAAACAATGGAATGGAAGAAAATTATTGGGAGACATTATTCTCTTCTCTACAGCTTTTTAAACTTGCTTATCATTTTAATTGGCTAAAGATTAGTACGTGTTTTTACATAAGCATGTATCTAGATTTTTTTTCATTTAAGAAAATATTTATTGAAGTTACAAGGTATTAATTAATTCTAAAATTGAAATTCGGTCATAATGGGCAACTTTTGAATTATTTTCAATGAAAAATTTTAATTAGAAAATAAATTTATAAATATATATATATATATATATATATATACATAAAAAAAAACAAAAAATATATCTGAATATTTTGATCAGTACCAAATTGTGCACTGTAATAAAAATAATAAGATGCTAATGTACATAACATGGAAACACGCATTTGATACATATGCCAAAATTTTGCTATACGAACGAACCAAACATTTATTACATTTAAATATTTTTAAACGATAAAAAACACTTGTACACACACACACACACACACACACACACACACACACACACACACATATATATATATATATATATATTTATTTATATATATATATATATTATACTTCAGAATTTTTTCATAAAACTAAACCACATCTCTCTCCATTGATTACAAATTTGTGTTTTGTGTTTTGTGTTATATATATATATATATATATATATATATATATATATGCACTGCACATGAAATGATAAATTAATATTTAGAAAAATGGCTATGTCTCGTGTTAGCCGGCATGTGATGTGATGTTTTGATGCATGCTGCTCTGGAATGACTGGTGTCACAAGGACGATATATTCGAGGTGGCAACACGTAAAAGAGTGATTATTTTTTGTCGTTTGGTGGCTGAGTGGGTTGTTAGTTTGTTTGTTAGTTGGTTGGTTGGTTGGTTGGTTGGTTGGTTGGTTGGTTGGTTGGTTGGTTGGTTGGTTGGTTGGTTGGTTGGTTGGTTGGTTGGTTGGTTGGTTGGTTGGTTGGTTGGTTGGTTGGTTGGTTGGTTGGTTGGTTGGTTGGTTGGTTGGTTGGTTGGTTGGTTGGTTGGTTGGTTGGTTGGTTGGTTGGTTGGTTGGTTGGTTGGTTGGTTGGTTGGTG